ATGATGGATACCACCCCCCTCTCGACCCCCGCTCTTCTGTAACAGACGCACGAGCCTACTGCAGGTACTTTTGTGCAACTACCACAAAAAACTATTCCACCTCCCGATCTAGTGTAGACAGGCGAACCGAAGGAATCAGCGCGTTGGAGGTCTTGGTACTGCTGCTGTACCCGCTCTACTGTTTCCGAGTTTGGTATGTGTGATTGAAAAAAAATTCCCCGGCACCAACAGCAGCAGTTGAAGACGAGAACACCACGCAATTTCTAGTTTTGGACCAAAAATGGAATGAACGCCGCTTCTGCTGGTTGTCCATCTCCACAACAGATCTGGACGTACGTGAGTCTGGCAGATCTTCCTTATCTACTAGCGTTCTCAGGGATGTTATCGTGCCCGCGGTGCAATTGTCCGATGCTTCTGTCACAAACACGGATCCGTGAAAGTAGCAAGCCCCGAAAAATCCCGGCTCCTTCTTTTCACGTTTCCGGGGAAAAATGCCTCCGTATATGTTCAAGAAAACACGCTTCCGTGAAATGTTCCGTATTTCTTTGGTCGTTAAGAACTACCTACATGCATAAGGCAACATGGACACAAAATAAAATACTGCTGAAATCGAGCCGATAGACTACGCCGAAACACCCTTTGCCTTTAAAAAATCCCTCCTGACCTTCTTTACTTGCGGTACCGATCATGCGCCGAATATGTAGATCGTCAAAAATATGCTGCTGAACAAGCAAACCGTGTGATGATGTGGTCTGATAATGGTATTTTGTTGGGTCTCGGGTGCACACAAATCAGAATTCAGCACGTGCAAGTCGGCTGAACCACGAGACGAAGAGCACAAACATCCTGGCGAGATGACCAAATGTAAAACTACGCACCGCCGGCCTTCCCGCTAACCACCTAGACTGCTGCTGAAGCCTCAAGGCAACACACAGCATACGTCAAGGCAACACACATCCGGTCGCGCGGGTGGTCTTCTAGTGGGTAGCCTCGCAGCCTGCTGAGGGCCCGGTCATGGGTTCGAGTCCCGACAGAGTGAGTTTTTTCTCGCAAAATAAATCCTGGACTCCGTTGGAAGTGACGCGCTGCAAAGCTCGTTGTTAGTAAACTTGATCGACTTCATAAGTCGCCAGGGAAGGGATCGCTGTACCCTTCTCGCGATAAAAATATCTCAGGCAGGAACCGCAGAAGGGGGTCCAACCCCCCCCTCCTATGTGACCCCGGTTGGGTCATTTAGCTGGTAGAAGTGGAGGATAGGGGCCAGAGGGGCAGACGACAGAGTACAATGATGTGAGAAAAACAAAACAAAACAGACGTAGTATACCACAGGAAGGATGCCACCATCAAAGTGCTGTTCAAGAAGGGGGACACGATGGAGTGCGGCAACTACAGGGGCATCTCTCTCGTCGCACACGCCGGTAAGGTGCTGCTTAAGGTCGTCGCTGCACGACTGAGCCGCTACTGCGAGCGAGAGGGCATCGTCCCGGAGGAGCAGAGCGGTTTCCGCCCACACC